TCCTGAAGTCGACTTTAGAACGGAGGGCAAACGGAACAGGTCGTGTCTTGAGGAACTTCGGTGTCGATTCCTCTGTCAGCTCCAGGCGCACCAGTGCTCCGGCATTACCCGTGATATCTTCGGAAAAAACTGAATCAAAATCTTGGAGGAGTTGTGTAATATCGGAACATCCTCCTGTCAGGTGAATGCCACTGACCGTGGTGCCCAGCGTTCCGAAACAGTTGCGTCCAAGCAAGCTGCATCCAGAGCCTTGAACCACGAGTAGGGGTAGCTGGTACGTCTTGTTTTTGTGGCGTACAGCCACTATTGTTGTACCGAAGACTTGCAGTGCCTGGCCGGACCAGGTAGTGAGGTGAATGTCACCTTGTTTCAACTCCGGTGAGCTGCTTGGCCAGGATGGGAGGAATCCCGTCCTCGTCGCCGATGTTTACTAGTTGAAATAATGACTGTACATGCTCATTTACATCGGTTACATCAAGAAATACTTCACATGAAAGCGTTCGAGGTGGATGGCGCCCGATCACCCCAAGAATCGCACGCGCCCTGTCGTCGTCGTTTTTCTCGTTCTGTCCCTGGTGCTGTTACACACGAGCGGACACGACACTCCCCTTCGCTTGTCGTGCTTCCTGAGGCCTCTGCAGGTGCTCCGTAGAATTTCCATGAGGGTCCAGCATGGGCAAGCACTGGTGAGGAGAGTTTTGGTCGTTGTAGATTTCGAAGGACCCTTACTGCGTTGCCGAAACACGATTCAAGCGTTCGAAGACGTTGGTGCGTCGCTGCTAAAAGTGGAAATTCTCTTTCATGTAAACGTGCTGCGCGGAGACGCCCCGGTGCAGAGAATGCTGGAGGAATTTACTGACGTCTTCGAAAAGAAGTTGGGCTGCTGTGAAGGCCCACCCGTGAAGTTATATCAGAAGGAAGGTGCTCTCCCCGCTTCCGCAGGGCGCGTTTCGTGCCATATGAGCTTCGTGAAAAAGTGACGGCGGAAATCAACCGTCTAGTGACAGATGGGGTGCTCTCCCCGATCCGTATGTCGCAGTGGGCTATACCAGTTGTTCCGGTGGCAAAGAACGGTGATATAAGGCTGTGTGGCGATTTCAAGCTAACGGTCAACCCTGCTACACACCTGGAGCAGTATCCACTGTCGAAAATTGACGACAATTTTTCATTCCTCTACGGAGGAGAAGTATTCAGCACGCTCTGTTTACGCAATGCGTACAATCAGCCTCCCCTCGACGGGGAGGCTCGTAAGATGGTTGTGTTAAACAGGCACCAAGGATTGTAACGCTACAACCGTTTGGCTTTGGCATCGCGTCGACCCCAGCTTTGTTTCAACGCCGTATCGAGTCACTTCTGCATGGCCTTCCACGTGTTAAAGTATATCAGGACGACATTATCGTCGCAGAAAAAAGAGAGCGATACATCGACACCACGGCAGGTATTTCAGCGGCTACGGGACAGTGGTTTTAAGTTGAACCAAGCCAAATGAAAGTTCCGAGAGAAGCAAGTGTTGTTTTTGGGACACAAGAATGACGCCATGGGTATGCACCCTCAGCGAGACAACCTCGAGGCAGTTACAGCAGCGCCGAGACCGAGATCGGTAAGCCAGCTGAAATCCTTCCTGGGGTTAGTCATGTATTATGCTAAATTTTTACCCAATCTGGCAGCGACCTTGGCTTCGCTTTATAGGATGTTTGCAGAAGGTGCATCATGGCAGTAAGGCCAAGACCAAGAGAACGCCTTCCAAGAGGCGAAGCACTCTACGGCTGACGCAAATTTTCTGGTCCATTATGACCCCCGGAAGCAGTTGCGACTAGAATGTGATGCATCACCGTACGGACTCGGCGCGAGCTGTCACATCGCATAAACGGAAGGGATTTCCCGATAGCGTTTCATTCAAGGACACTGACATCAACGGGACGCAAATTTTTTCAACTTGAAAAGGAGGCGCTGGCCTTCGTCTTTGGAGTTTTAAAGTTTCGGGATTATCTGCTCGCAAACCGCTTCATGCTGGTGACCGATCACAAGCCACTAACGGCACTGTTTCATCCGGAGCGGCCGATTCCCCAAATGGCGGTGGCCACAATTCATCGGTGGGCATTGCTTCTCTCAGCATACCAGTACAACATCGAGTACCGGAAAGGGCCGCAGAATGGTAATGCCGACGCCCTTAGTCGCTTGCCTTTGCCGGAAGAAGGGGATGGCAGCAGTAGCGAGCTTATAAAGTACTTGTTGTACAGTCAGCCCTTAGATGACCGAACTCTGTCTGCACAGCAGTTGGCGGATCTCACCACCGAGGACAAGATCCTCCGGCATGTAAAGAGGTGGGTTAAAGGCGGGTGGCCAACACATTTGCGCACGGAGCAGCAGTCTTTCCAGCCGTACTTTGTCCGAAGACATGAACTCATGGCGTTCTACGATCTGATCTACTGGTGTCATCGAGTGATTCTCCGGAAGCTCCGAGAGCGTGCATGCTGAAGGAGCTACAGGATACCCATCCCGGGATCTTGGCAATGAAGAGTCTTGACCGGAAAATGTTTGGGTACCCGGGCTTAGACCAAGAAATTGAGCGACTTGTAAAAAATTGCCCGCAGTGCCTGCAGTGTTGGCCGATTCCCGCGGCTCGCGCTCCATCAAAGTGGCCAGAAACTAACAAACACTGGTTCCGCCTGCGCATAGACTTTGCCGGTCCTATGGACGGTCACATGGTTTTTGCCCTGGTTGATTTGGACACCAAATGGATTCAGGTTGTCCCAATGAAGACGGCAACAGCGGACACAACCATTGATGTCCTTAGAGGAATTTTCGTTCGTTTCGGCCTCCCTGAGACACTGGTCTCGGACAATGGCCGCAGTTTTCAAGCGCGGCGATGGCGCGATTTTTGAAAGAAAACCACGCGTGTCATCTGACAACCGCACCATATTACCCGCAGTCGAATGCGTTAGCCGAGCGGGCTGTTCGCACTCTTAAACAAGGCCTAAAGAAAAACAAAGACGACTCTCTACAAAACCAGACTGCCAAGTTTTTATTTCGTTACCGGTGCACTCCTGTCAAAGACGGCAATTCGCCGGCTGAGTTGTTGTTGGGCTGTCAACCGAGGACGAGACTAACCAGCTTCTTCCCAAGCGGGCGAAAGCCAGAGCACGCCGTGGCTCTCCATCGTCCTCAATCGCCAAGTCACCGCTACTTGCTCCGGGAACGCACGTCTGGTCACGCCAGTATCAGCGTGGTCCAAAATGGATACCGGGAACTGTAACATCCACGCAAGGGATGCGGATGGTCACGCTGAACTCGCCAGATGGACAACAGCGCCAGCACCTGGACCAACTGCGACAGCGAGACGCTGAGGAGGCGATGCAAGCACATCTAGAAGCCAGCCACACGCAACAGACCGACGGCCCAACAGAGGATGACAAGCTGGTGAAGCAGACAACAGGAAACGCGCTCAAATAAAACTTCTTTTTTTCCCCCTTTTCTTTCTTTTTTTCGGGCGTTTGATTTTGTTTTAATTGTTTGCTTTTTTATATGTCTTTTTACTTTTATTTTTGTGTCGTCACGTTCTCCTCGCCCCCTTGGCCGCTTACTGCTTTGCACAGTCTGATGCCCTCACATGTATGCCATCTCCTGACGAAGCCGAGCCTCTCGGCGAAACTGTCGAAATACATGCAATAAACTCCTGCATAGCAACTCCGCAAGTACGGATCTCTGACTTATTACATTTTCCCGGTCTATTGTTCTCAAGCTACTCTGCCTCACCTATATATATATATATATATATATTGTTTATTTCAGTTGCAGTTTTAGCGAATATCAGCTCAGTCAAAATATAAATATAATTACTTGCATTACGCGCACGATTTGAAATCGGTGAACCGGCGCCCCCGACCTTCCGGAAACATAGGCTGCCACGGCTGAAACTGGCATGCACATGCCGCCGATCTGTACGTTCAGTATCAAACGGGCTCTAGAGAGCCGTTTGATAAAACCGATACAGTTTGCCGGTCACCGGTCACCAGTCTCTGCAACATGGTCACCGGTTTGAGCAAACGTGCGACAACTTTGCCCAAACGAGTGGCCCATTTGCCCAGACGAGTGACTCGGTTTCCAAAGGGGCGACCTGCCTGCACAAATAGGTGACCGTTATGGCTCAAACGGGGAATCCCTTTGAGCCATACTGGTGACCCCATTGACAAACTGTTGACCGGCATGGCTAAACTGTTACCGGCATGAACCCGTTTAGATTCATATAGGCGCCAAATGTTTTTTTTTTCTTCAGTAATGTTAAGCTTGCGAAAAGTAATTGTTTCAAAAAAGTCATCTACGGCCTTGTAATAGTCACGTTCATTTAACAGCTTACAAGTTTTATGCGCGTCCAGTATTATAATATACATGTGTTATATGGGATGCATATATGAAATATTCAGTTTCTCAAATCGAAAAAACGGGAAATTTGGCTTTTAGATTTTCTTTTTCAAAATACAGGCGCATGAAATCTGTTTATACAATGAGAAGCGAGCAGAGCTGGATTTGGTGACAACGCAAAGACATATATCCCCATTAAAATAAGTTTTAAATTATCAACCATTTGACAAAGATAGAACAGCAATCGTACTTGCGCCCTCCAAATTCACGTTTTCAAAGGACGTGCCAGATTAGGGCAATTATGCCTAATTGTTACAAAAATGGCGCTTTTAAATACTCTTTTTTTCGAAGAGCAATAGTAGAATGAAACGCTATGCCTAATGAAGCCGTCGGATGCACGGATATGAAGTCGTTTGAGTCAAGACTGCTCGATTGTTTGCCTCCTGAATATTTGCATGCTTGTAGATTATGTCATATTGTGTGCTGGGGGACCACTCTGTCTGTACAAGCCTGAGGGCCCGTATGAGTGTGCAAGTGTGGTGTTCTTTTGGTGTTGTTGAAATTATTTTTTCCTCTCCTGTGTTGTTCGGAAGGTTCGCAGTATATTAAATAAATAAAAACATGCCATCTATTTTCAGTGCCAGCCTTGACTTTACAAAGGATGAAAACGTCTGGTCTTGCCTTGTTGGCCTCGCTGCGTCAAAACTCTATCGTACGGGCCTCGACCAGATGATAGTTCAGAGGTACATGGCATCAAGAACACTAGAAGACGCCAAAAGGTATTGTTTCACTCTTAACAACGGCACACACTGTACAGAAAAATTCACAAAACCCATCGGTCAATGAAAGAATAAGTTGACAAACAGCTATATTTTATTTTGCGGATGGGCAGAAAACCTCCATTCAGAGACGTGGAACTGGGCACTACGACACAATGTGTCTTCATGCGTGGCTACTTGGATACTTTTTTAATGAAACGACACCTTCAATTATTGTAGTAGTGTCTCTAAAGTTAGTTTAAAAATAGAAATTGTGTAATTGTTATTTTTTGAATAAACAGATTTTATCAACAATCACGAACGAATAATTCCACACCCAGTAATTACCTTTTAATACGCTTCGAACTTCAAAGGATTAAGGAGAGAACTAAACTTCTTGAACTGTTTTTAGAGCAACCATTACGACAGGAAGTAGAAAGTGCAGAATAATTAAGCAACCGTATTGAAATTTAGGCTGAAATTTATGATCACGACGCCAGAGCAACTAATATTATGTCGCTAAGCTGAAGAGTACGCCAAATTTAGTTTTCAGTAAAGAGCGTGAGCTCGAGATTAGGGTACTAGACTCTGAAGAGCGCACAGTAGGATTGTGTCCATGATAATGCGAGAACACTTACCAACGCATAAGTCCTGCGAAACAAAACTGGAACCAATGTGAGTGTAAACGCTTTCAAAATAAATATGCTTAGACTGCTCGATAAGAGGACGGCAGAAATTGTGAACTTGTTTAATTAAGAAAGCAACGTCTGAATACAAGGTACCTGTACGTCTCGTTTGAACAGAAAAATGGGCATGCATCTGAACTCTTAGATTTTACTGTTTTTTTTTCTAAATGGCGAACTTGAACCTGACGAGTTTTGAATACTTATTGAATAAATATATCTGCTTGCTATTGTGGCAAATAAGGCAACGACACTGGGGCAGTCTCGCCACCAAGCATCCCGCTGCAGTGACGTGCGCATGGCCGGGCTTCCATAAAATATTTCTACCTCATTCCATGAATACGTCTTTTTTCTTATCCTGCCGGCCACAAATTTTCGAAGCGATCTTTTTTCTCAAAAATTGTTTTCCTATTATCTCTGCCACTTTAATTGGTGGCTTAATCGTATCTTTTCTTAGACTCCCCAGACACGTTAGGATACGTTAAATAAAAAAAAAAACCTTTTATGATCAATGAAATTCAAATTTTAAGGGGGTCTCCAGTAAAAATAAGCTGCCGGCATTGCTAAATAATTGGTTTCCCTAAATCCACGATGGTAGAAGTGTAATTAAAAAAAATTACTGACATTGAAGATTTTTGCTTAAGAAGCAGGCTTATCCCTTGGCTGTTTTACGCATTGTAGGTCAATTCGATTAAGTTTATGAAAAAACACTCATGGTCCCCACAAAAGCTCCCGGAACCGCGAAAATATTAATAATAGGTCAATTTTGCTTTAATCTTAACGTACCATCCCTTTTTCGCTAGAAGTGTCATTGGTATTTCAGAAAAATCTATTTCCAGCCATTTACCTTGCGACTTGATGTTGCCCGTACTGCTTGCAATGCATGTGCTGTATAAAGGATCATCTTGTCAGTGTAGAAATTAACACTATCGTCACATGTCGTTGCCTACTCCTACAAAACTGTGCATACCTTCACGTGATTAAAGGTCTATTTTGAGGTATTTTCCCCGCAGCAGGCTGATTAGCCATGCATACTATAGCGCCAAATTTGTGCTGAAACCCTGCTTCGCTGGGCACGCGGTACTTTAAGGCCGCCTGTAGCATGTTTTTGAAAACTAAGATGCCTGTTTATGCCAAGACAACTTCTTGCAGTTGCTAATTACGCCGCTGTGCACTTCTTTGTCCTCTGCTACTGAAATGGCAAATCTCAATTGTGGCAGTACTATCCGGTTGAAAGCTTGGAGCAGCCCATTTTCTCGAAGCTCCCGTTCCAATTAGAGAGGGTCTATCAATACACCTGCGACGAGCTACCAGTTCTCACCCCTCCTAGCTCGAGAACGCCTTTTGTGTGGTGCTTTCCCAGGTTAGAATTCATCCCCGTAAGTGTAAATTATGGGAATCACAAGCGCTAAAAGTCTTCATTTCTTTACCAATACTTTTAAGGGGGTTATAACATGAAAATTAAACTGGTACATTACTCTTGAAATTGAATGCTATTGGGTTATTTGGTAGATACACCAAGTTTCGCGATTTTTAAATCTCTAGTACTTGGAATAATAAATTTATGAATGGTTATCATTTTCGTTTGGCGACCAGGCAACACCACTCAAGTTAGTCCCTTCATGGCGCCCCTAAATAACGTGATTATCGTATTTAGTTTAACGCTCTCTACTTCTAAGCGCCCCTGTGCTGGTCCAGCTCGGATCGCCGAGTAACGATCGCACACTCTCACGCTACTCAGCTACACCAACGTTTGCTCTTGCTCTCGTCCCCTTGCCCTTAAATCTTCCACCCTGCAGGCACGTGCGCGATCGTCCCGGGCGACGGCGGGTCCTTTCATGACGATCTCGTCGTCGTCGCTGGAGCTGACCCCGAACCAGTCGTAGTCAAAATGACCAGCTTCTAACGTCTTTTGATAACAACACTCTCATCGCTGCTGCGATCAGTGTCGAAGACTCTAACGAAGCGAGTGATGCCGTATATGTCACCTTCTCGAAACCGCGAGCTCGACACTCAAAGTTAAACATGAAAGCTGATTTTCGAGACGCCGAGAGAGCCAGGTCTGCGAGTGCGTGCAGAGGGACTCCGCGCGTTGGGCGGGTGACGTTAGCCACCCAACAGACAGGACTGCATTTTCGAATGTGGAGTGTCGGAGTGTCCCGCATATAAATCGATTCATTCGCGAAACTATCGCGTCTGTTTCCAAACAAGTTTATCATGATTATAAATTATACAATGAAGCCAGCAGTATAGTTATCTCATATTTTAATTTTTCCGCGTCCTAAACTTTTTAATGCTCATATATCTCACGCATTTTTATCGGCCGCACTCCCGTCCGTTTCGAACATATAACTGGCGAACACAGAAAGAAAACTTTGTTCGAGCAACTCAACTGTTACCTGATTATTGCATCCTCATAAGTTGGGGCGCTACAGAAATTATTTGTAAAAAGTTCCCGATATGTTTATGCTGTGCTATGCATAGGTTTTACGATTATATTAAACGAAAGGATGTTGCCTCCACTTTCTCGCTAGTAGACGACACAAAACCGCAGTGTGTCGCCACGAGCGTAAGTGAATATTCACCTTGTCGCGCTTCACATTTTATAGAAAAATATGACATGTGGCCCTGAGAGTGCCGTGCTGCTCGCCGCACTACGTTCTAGGTTATTTTGGCTGCTTTAGTACATCATGGCTAAACGGGACATAAACTTTTCGTAATGCTAAGTTACTCTATAAGAAAACTGCTGATCAGTGTTCGCACAGCAAGACATGTCGATGGTCGCAGACCTGTTCGCAGATAAGCTCAAAATTTAAAATGACTCACGTGCCCTAAACATTTAATTTTGATTTAAAAAAACAAACAAACAATATTTACGTCGTTTGAAGTGAAATATATATTTGAAGTTTCTCAGTGGCACCAATTCCGTATTCACACGCTAGTCATATATCCAAATCTCAGCATGCCATCTAGATACAACAAATCAGCTAGCCTGGTCCTACAAACACCCTGTTAACCCGCAAACCAATACTGTCACCGGCAAACCGATACTAATGCACTATCAAAAACTTCAATTATCTATATTACACCGCTGATTGCTCAAACTTCCTAAGCCAGTTGCTTCCATTCGGTTGTGTTAAACGTACTTCAGCTCACCGTAGCGCACACTGAAAACTTTCAAGCCGTGGCAGAAGGCGGCTCCGACGTTTACAGGAACTGAGAGCTCAGCACTCAGCGGGTTGACACTTGAGCCACTTGACACAAGAGCTTGTGCTCAGACTGATTATGTTTATCGCCATAAGGTACACCCTCTAGTGTGCAGGAATGCATATACCGAATCGCACTCGGAGCAAAATAACAAATCCTCTCTAAAAACATATTCTTACAAAGTACATACGGGTATTTAAAAACAACCAATGCATTCTTTATAAAGTATGCAGGTTGTTTTTGAAACAAATATGTTATTTACATAAACTTACATAATTTGCACAGCAGAATTGTTTTTTTTTTTTTTATCAGAAACCTCTGAACGAAGTTCCACCAGACATTGGAGTTCTGTCCGGATTTAAAGTTAGGATATGCTCGAGGGTGGAGCTGATGTTTATGGCCAGAGCAATATCATGGTCGTTTAGAGCCCGTGTTCACGGGCTATAATTACAATATTGTTTTTAATAATTTTCTTTTGAGTTTTTTTTTTTTTTTATTTGAGAGTGCCCTGTAGAAGCTACAATTATATAGAAAAGTTGTGAGACTCCAGCTTTTGCTGGCATTTTCTGTGAATATTCAGAACAGAAACAGTTCAATTCATCGTCGTATACTCTTCAATGTAAATAATGTATTTCCTAGAGACCGTCTGTACTATTTCCAGGGAACCAATAACGCTATAATAAAGGATGAAGCACAAGAGTATTCCTGTGTGAAAATATCAACTTAAGACGCATGTCATCAGAGTCAGATATTTTTCGTTGTGTTGCTGAGGTGATGTTATCAAGCAAATTAAAAAAGAATATGTTGAATTAACCATATTGCAAGTTAATGAGTGCTTGTATGTTTTATTTACAGGACAGCCCGTGTTGGAACCGCAGTGCTGATTGCCTACTATGTCATAGAAATGCTTCTGTCATTCTTACTAATATATTGGTTTCGTGATTGCGACCCTCAGCTTACAGGAGCCACCAAGCAGATAGATCAGGTGAATAAGACATATTCCCTTCGCGTAGTTGAGAAACATGAAATCCGGCATTTTTCCAACTAGATAGCGAGAAATTCCGATATCACTGCAGAAGTGCATAGGCATTGCAGTAAATTTGGATTTCGTGGCGGTCTAAAAGCGTTTTGCTTACAAAGCGAAGCCAGTTGAGATACCTGTCATACTGATGCAGGTTGTGGTAGCGGAAGCTTTCATATAATTTACCGCAGTTCCGGACCTCCCGCTATTAGAACTTTATTTTATCTACAAAAACAATCTTCTGGTGGTGTTCATAACCAATAGGGGGGGGGGGGGGGGGTCGGTGGCCTAGTTGGCTAGCGCACACCAGCTCGGAGCAGGTGGAGCGAAAGCTCGCGCTGCGAAACCCAGGGATCCTGGGCTCAATCCCCACCCCTGCCCGTTTCGATCCGTATGAGCATCGTACCGGCATGCGGTCGTATATCACTACTGCGTGGTGCACGTTAAAGACCCCAGGCTAGCGGTTGTACTTCACTGGCTAAATTGATATTCTACAGCGAGTGACTCGTCGCAACTTTGAAATGGCTGACCAACTACATACAGGCTGTATAAATATCCACACGACCCCAATTATTAATTATTAATTTATAACCAATACTAATGATTGTAATTTATGTTTTACAGCTTATTCCGTATTATGTCAAGAGGCACTTGAAAGAATTTACTGGATTTTCAGGCCTATTCCTTGCCGGAGCTGTCAGCGCAAGTACTAGGCACGTATATTATTTATTATTGTCAAAACTTTAAATCCCTCATGGTCACTCAGCGTCTATCTGAAGAAGACTCTTGTCCCTGATAGCCGATTCGCACGACGGACTGATCCACGGACGGATTGATCACGTGACCGCATGTCCGCGGTTCTTCTGTCTCCCAAGCGTATCCTCACGAACGGGACGACGAGCAGACGCCAGCGAGGACGGACCGAACCTCTTCGCCGCCCCACATTGCCGCAAAACTCTAACCTCGCACCGTTTTCCAAGAGAGAAATCGGCGTTTGCTGTTGCGATAAAGAATCGTACACCGGTGTTACGTGCAGATCGAGACATAACACCATGATATGCTTCGCGTGAAGCGCCAGAACCTTTACTTATCCATGGCATGACAGTGACACGTGCATTGTCCTGCTCGAGAAGGCTTCGGTGTAGAGGTGACGAAGTTTTGGGCTCTCGGAGGGGCGTTTTGAGATGCCTTTACGCACTCCGCACTCGTGCACATCGCTCAAGTACGTACACCGCAGACACAAGAAAGGTCTTGCTCGGTGAAAGGCTGATTGGACATGCAAGAATTATCGCAGCGTGCTAGCCGAGTTTTGACGGAAGCTTGTTGACACGCCCCCGGAGGAGTACCGGAACCTGCGCCGCGTCAGCCGGGCTAAGTGCCTGCAGTTTATTTCACGCGTGGAATCAGGAATCGCGCGAAAAAAATGAAGCAGCGAACACACAAAACACAACACAATTTTTTTAACCGTCCAGAAATAAAAAACCAAACAGAGGAAAACATTGTACCGTTACCAGACTAAACACTTTCCAAGTCAATCTCCCGCCAAACTTCCATGAATGAAAAGGCCCTTGGCTTTCTCAGTCCTCGCGTCCGTAGACGAGGCGCGGATGGCAGGAATCAGGAACGTGATGTCACGTGATACACAGTCCGCGAACGAAAGTCACAATTCGGTCCGTCGTGTGAATTGGCCATGAGGAGTACCCATGCCACTACAGCGCTGGTCTGCCCCGGATGAAACGGACTTCGCCCAGGGAAGAGACATCGGCCGGGTGATGCTTGTGCGTGCGCTGACGCGTCTGAAAGGGAGTACTTCCATATTATTGGACGTGTCTCCGGCCAGCGTTCTCGAGTTCCTGGGGAACGATGCAGCGAAGCATATGGGGGATATCTTAGGATTCATTTTCAAAGAGGAGCTTCAAGACTTGCGGCTCGGCTGCGAAGTTCTGATTGCTAAAAGTGGGCTAGAAAGAATTCCTCAGAGATTATCTGCCCTTGACTGTCACCTCAACGATGTACAGGACTTTCGCGCACCTCATCAAATAACTCATGACAACGTGGGCAAAAGGGAACAAAGTGCTCACCTTGCTTCAGGGCGAGTTCCGGAGAGGACGACTGATGGAAGACAAGCTGTTAACTCTCATAGCATTGGAGCAGCCAGGAAATATGGAAGAAGGCTGCTCTATTGCTGCGAGATGTGACGAAGGCATATGAAGTCGTGCTGCACGCGCGACTCGTAGTGTGTCGTGGAAAGCTTCACCTTGCTTATGAGTGACTAGTCCTCGTACGCTGCACCTACGCCAGTTATATAGCGACGACCCGGTTGAATGGTACACATCAGAGGAGGTCATGGTAAGGGGCCATCCTTTGACAAGGATGGCCGCTTACCACACTTCTTTTCTTAAGTATCAGTTTTGGAGGAACAGATTGTCGAGTCGAAGCTTGGGTTTTAACTTACGCACCTGGACGGTGGCACAGAGTTGAAGTGGATGCTACTGGGTATCACCTATGCGGACGAAATTGTATGGACAGCAGAGGCGGTGCAAAACCTACAGCGCAACTAGACAAAAAACTACAGCGCAACGTCCAGTAACTTTTTTTATTATCTGGAATATGGAATTGGAAATCTGTTTCTGAAACCCTGAAATCAAAAATGCACACAAATGAATAATTTCTGAAAACCTGAAATCCAATCAGAATAAAGGTTGATAGATTTACGGTTCCATAATTTAGATAGCGAAAATTTATACAGGGTTTTTCAGTAGTGAGGCGACTGTGCAAGGCCTTTAATTAAACACCAAAAAATCGACAGTGCTACAGTTAGCTCACCGCGAAGAAACTACATTGAGCAGTGTGGCGCTCAACGGTGGAACACTACAGGTGGAAAAATCGTGCAAATATTTGGGTTCTACGCCGGCTACCAAGTTCCAAGTACCTGACTGAGCACTACGCAGATTTCCATCAAGCAGCCATGCGAGAAACCCAGTTCTGCGCAAGCGTAATTTGTGGAGCTGCAATCGCTTTTGTGTGGCTCGATAACCCTGGAAGGTGGTGTTGGTACCTGGACTAACCTTCGCCAACACAGTTCTCTATGACCCTAGCTTAGTGCGGCAAGTCTTTGAAAGTCGGCAGCAATAGGTTGGGCGGCAGGCCTTGCGATGTCGCGGAATGGTAACCAATGTCGCGGTTCGGAACGATCTTGAGTGATCGTGATTTGAGGGCAGAGACGTAACGAGCAAAATTACTTATAACAGCCGTGTACGCCACAGGATCCTCAATAGGTTGGCCAAGAAACTTTTGGTCCATGCGTACCTTACGGCAGTCAGGCCTCAAGCAGGAAGCGGGTGTACTAGCTAGAGAAGAAGTTCGGCTCGTGTACAGCCCCAGTGAAAGCCACACAAGGTACAAACTGGGGAGAGGTATACAGACGAGGGTGAGAGAGGAGGAGGCAATTAGGTTGGCAGAGACGGCAGAGTTCAAGTAGAGGCTGCTCATGTAGCAGCAGTGTAAGCAAGAAATTTCGGCAGAGACTGCTGTCTACAGCAACAGTCTGAGCAGCCGCTTCCTTTTGAAGTACGCGCCGGAGCTCTACGACCGCAAGTATACCGCCGGCGCTTCGATTATGCGGTGGAATCGCCGGTGTGTTCAGTTTGCGGTGAGGCAGACCGAAGGACAGAGCGTATTGTACTGCCGTGCACCGGCCTGCACCCAACAGAACCACCGGAGTGCGGACAGACACCAAGTAAACGCCCACTGGTAGTAGTTTTCAACTTTGGGTCTGCTCTAGGCGTGGACTCTACACTAATTACCAGAGTGGAGTGGCGGGAACCACAAAAAGAATGTTAGTATATTGGTGACTGCACGTGCAGAAAAGGGCTAAGAAAACCCCACAGGCTAGGTGCCTAGCACCACGGGACAGCCTAATTTATTTATTTAATTTGTTTTGGCTCACCCCGTAGAGGCAACATCGTATTGAAGACGACCCCACACTGCTGATATTTTTAAGGCACCAGCGAAGGCCAACGCTGGATACAGATTGGAAACGAGGGCTGCGTCAGCGCTCGGCCTCGACTTAAGTTTGAGCCGAACGTTCACGCAATCTTTGTGTGCCATCTCTGCATAGCGTTGGCCTTCGCTGATGTCGACATCTCTATCAGCAATACGGCTTTGTTTTCTAGGAGGTGTCGGTAGTGGCAGGAGATAAAGGCGTTATGCCTGTCAAAGCCGCTTCCCCCTAAGGCTCGGCAGCTCAAGATACCTAGATAATAACATTTAGAAAGCAACTTGTCTACTCCAAGCTGTAATATTGTACAGCCGAACGCCCCCGCTTAGTCGCCAACTATGTTGTCCGCGCAGCATTTATGCTTTCTAGCACTGGTGGCATAACCAAGCTCAACCGGCTTGCAAAGACGGTGCGACCAGAAGCCGCTTCGGACGCAAGTGGCAGTTCACGTTTGTAAACAGCAAGAAGCTCAATAACAAATGATTGACGAAAGAAAAGTAAATGCACTGTACAAAAACATTTGATATATCAATTACTGTGTACGCTGTCTTTGCCTTGGCAGCACATGCAACCTCAATCTTTACCGCGAGACGCATGAGCGAACGATAAGTGCTACGTACTTATTATCGTTCGCGCGCGCCTTATAATCTATCGCGCGGTTTTGACATCTGTGTTTTCTTTTTTCTTATTGAACCAAGTGTCAAAACAACATGATAAATGACAAGGCGTATGCGAACGCTGATAATGAGCGCGCGTGGGTTTTCTGTTGACGGATATATATATATCTCGACCTACGAGTCATATACAGCTTCGCTGTGAGACATATTTATGTTAAATTGATTAGATACACTGACTATGTTCTAATCGCAATACAATATCCATATGAAAATGCCATTTCACTGCCAACTAGGGACCTACCGATATAATTTTTAACAGAAAACGTCTTATTAAAGCTACCGTTCAGTTTTGTTTCATTTAGAGTTTTAGATGTTTGAAATGTTGCCGTTTGTCGGCCATTGATGGTTCCTATGGCCAGCATTCTTCGCTCACAGTTTCTAGCAGGATATTTACTCAGGCTGTGTGGTGCTGTGGTGTAGAGTCGATTTTTATGTATCAATTGTAAAAGTTTGAAGTAGTATACGTCGGCCTTAAGCATTCTATATTTCATAAAGATTGGCTCTTCTTAAATTCCTGGTATTCCCTCTATAACTTTCACGCATTCGTATAATTTTGTTCGGCAAAAGGATAGGCTTACATAGCTCACAGTTGTCGTTCCCCAATGTAAAACACCACAAGTCATTGTAAAGTGAAATATATAATAATATATTTTGTGTGCTAACCTGGTTGTCATCTAATTTTTTATTCTAAAAGGAAAACAACCGCAGATCATCATCACCATCTGCCCTATTGAAAATTCTCATTTGTATGAGAAATTTCTGTGTCCAATAAACACATATGAATCATACAAGATATATAAGAACATATAAGAACCGTCTAAGAACCATATAAGAACTATACAAGAACTATATAAGATGTATGAGAACAGACAAGCACCATATAAGAAACTCGTGGGAAGTTTCTTATAAGTTTCTTATGGGGTTCTTATATATCTTATATAATTCTTATATAGTTCTGATATAATTCTTATATGGTTCTTATATGTTCTTATATATCTTGTATGATTCATATGTGTTTATTGGACACAAGAAATTT